TCTCCAGGTTGTGAGTTTGAGCCTCACACTGGGCTTGGAGTTTACCTAAAAAAAAAAATCATAGTAAAAATAAAAAAATAAAAATATGATTACTTAGAGTGATTTAAGCAAATTACTTAGAATAAATAAAAGACAACAGTGAGTCCCTAATCTTCCAAGTATGACAACCCCTTTTAAAATATCATTTGTCAGATTCTTACTTCATAGTACAATTATTATATATTGATTGAAAAAGTCATATTATGCTGCTGTGGTTTCACTAATGTATTTTCCTCCAAGAAGGCAATGGAAAAAGACAGATGTGTTCCGTCTTTAGATAATGCTTGCTGTGCATACATTCTCAATCTCGTAAAAAGTCTGTGGCCCACAGAGTTGTATACATCACTGATCTCTGAATGCGGGTTCACAAAACAAGCCATTAGTATTAAGTTTTTAAAAATTAGAACTTCTCTTAATTGTCTTTCGTCTTGAAAAAGTCAAATTGCTTTTAATACAGTGATTGGCCCTGGCTTCCCACACTGTTAGTAGGTCCGATGTGCTGGTGAGAGATCCTAAGGAAGGGTGGAATTTTCACTTTCTCACTTGTATTCGTCGTCGTCGTGACTGAAATTTACCTGTGATTATGTTGATTTTCATATGATTAGGTTTTAATGAAGCTGCTTCAAAAAGTGAGCAAGTGACTAAAAAAGACTCCTATCAGAAAAGATTGGTTGTAGTTATAATAAAGCTCACACAGGCATACACATAAAAATGTTAGAACTCCTAATTCCAGTATACGCTCTCATTCTGGGGTAAAAACTGTGATACAATCAGATCTGAAATACCAAATGCAAAAAAATCTGAGATTGTTGAAGATTGTTTGAAATGTGGATCTAGAATATTGGAACTGTACCTTGCCTGAGTTACAGTGTTGTTTGACATGTAACTAAATGATAGCATGAAATCATAACAAGTTAGCAGGTCATTTAAAAATTAGGCATTCTGAGTATAAAAACCTTTTGAGTTTTTTTTTCCATAGATGTTTGATAAAGCCATCAGTTGAGTGCAAAACTGCACTAAATTATAAATGTTCACAAGGCCCTTTGAGGTTTCTTTTGAACAGTAAAAGATAGCCATATCACTGGGGAAACCCTTGTTTTTTCTGTTTTGGTCGAAATGACAACATGGAATGTATGGCAAAAAATTAAAACACATTTCATTGTCATCACATGCCTTTGAAACATGCGGTGTTTCAGTATACAGTGCTGATGTGAAGAAACCAGTATCAGAATAATTACACATTGTAGAAGATTTGCTTTATGATTGATTTTATTTTAATAAAATATAGATGTTGTAACATACTTTCTCCTTAGTGTTCGCTAACTTGTGTTTCAGTAATAATGACTGGTTTTGGGGGGTGAATAGCAAAAGCAAAGAGATGCTAGGCAAATGTATATTTTCAATAGTAAATGACTTCTTTAATAAAGACAACCTTTTATGGAAGAAAGTCATAGTTACTTAAGGTAAAAATCATTTACTCCATCATTCATAGGTAAATTACTGCAGCAAAGAAATTGAACCAGGAGTTTATAAAGAGCTGTTAGCATGCCATCAATGTAGTTAATTTTATAAAAATAAGACCTTTAACTTTAAAATAAATACAGTAGGTTTTGGGGGCACCTGGGTAGCTCAGTTGGTTGAGTGTTGGACTCTTGATTTTGGCTCAGGTTGTGATCTCAGTGTTGTGGGATTAAGCCCCGCCCACCTTGTGCTCAGCACTGAGTCTGCTTGGGACTCTCTGTCTTCTCCCCTCCTTCTGCAACCCCCCCCAACCCCGCTCCCCCTCTCCTTGCTGGCACGCGTGAGCGCTCTCTTTCAAATCTTTAAAAAAATAAAATCTAGTTTTTACAGTACTTATATGAGAAATGACCAAGAAGTACATTTTACTGCATAGAATTTTGCTGATTATCTCATAGCAAAGTTCTTTGCTTTTGAAGAATAATACAACTTAAAATAGAAGTTGCTAATTCCACAGCAGTATGCAGATACTTTTAGCTAAAAGAGAATACACACACACACAATCTTCCCATTAAGGATAAAGGTTACTTACCAAGAAGGTAGCTATTTTAAAGAAAGTAGTGTTAGCAAATGAGCATTTGAGAAATAAAGCTTTGGAAAGGTAATGGTTTTGTGATTTTTTTTTTTTTTAAGATTTTATTTATTTGTTAGTGCACACATGAGCACGAGCAGGGAGAGAGGCAGAGGGAGATAAGAGAGGGACGAGCAGATGCCCCGCTGAGCCAGGAGCCTGATGCGGGGCTCTACACAGGGCTCAATCCCAGGACCCTGAGATCATGACCTGAGCTGAAGTCAGACGCTTAACTGACTGAGCCATCCAGGTGCCCCTGTTTTGTGATTTTTGTTGGGAAAAAAAAAAAGATCATGTATAGTAACTGTCAGATTTGCATACTTTAAGTACTTGGGAATTTTGGTATATATTCTAGGAAAACTCCTACAATAGCACTGTTTTATTATTTTAAAAAATGAAAAATAACTCCTATTCACTGATAGTAGAATAGATAAAAATTGTACATGAGCATATAGTGAACTATGGCTCTCCATCAATGCGGACGAATCTCAGAAATATAGTGGTGAGCCAAAACCAAGAATACTAGAGCAACATACATTGTACTTCACATCAATGTGTAGTGTCAGACATATAAAACTATGCCTCAAAAGGTTAAACTACAAGGGATACTGATGATAAAATTCAGGATAATAGGATGCCTCAGTGGTCTTGATGATGTTCTACTTCTTAAATTGTATGGTGGGTACATAGGTGTTCATTTTATTACTCTTTAGCTATATGTATACATTATGTAAACTTTCATATATGTGATATTTCATGTTTGAAAAATTAAATCAGGGGCACCTGGCTGGCTCAGTCAGAAGAGTGTTTTGATTCTTGATGGTGGGGTTGTGAGTTTGAGCCCCACGTTGGGTGTAAGAGATTACTTAAAAATAAGTAAAACTCAAAAATCATTAAGGGACAAACCCAACTTTAAAATATCAATTTGGGACTTAAAAATGACCAATTTGTGGGGTGCCTGGCTGGCTCATTCGGAACAGCATGTAGCTCTTGATCTCAGGGTTGTAAGTTTGATCCTCACGTTGGGTATAGAGATTATTTATAAATAATATTTTTAGGGGCACCTGGGTGGCTCAGTCGGTTAGGCATCCGACTCTTGATCTCAGCTCAGGTCTTGACCCTCAGGGTCATGAGCTCAAGCCCCACATTGGGCTCCACGTTGGTTGTAGAGCCTACTTAAATAAATAAATAAAATAAAATCTTAAAAAAAAATGACCTATTTGTGAAAGAATGCAGTCGCTCATAAAGCTGGTCGGTGTACTAGTGACCTAAGCTCAGTCAGACACTCATTTCCTGGACTTTGAATCTTGAGCAAGAGACTTCAGAAGGAAACAGACAGCAGGTAGGAATCCTAGCAGTGAGAGCACAGTATTTGGCTCCTTGTTTGTTAGAGGTTTCTTTTGATTCTTAATGTTCCCTGTAGCTTGCTTTCTTTTCTTTTTTTTTTTAAGATTTTATTTATTTATTTGACAGAGAGAGACACAGCGAGAGAGGGAACACAAGCAGGGGGAGTGGGAGAGGGAGAAGCAGGCTTCGCAGGGAGCCCGATGAGGGGCTCGATCCCAGGACCTTGGGATCATGACCTGAGCCGAAGGCAGATGCTTAATGACTGAGCCACTCAGGCGCCCCGCCAGCATGCTCTTTCGAAGGTCCCCATCCAAGATGTACTGGAAAAAAAAAAACTTTGGGTGTGTGGATGGGCTATGGAATCTGCATTTTGAGCAAATAACAAACATTTTATGGTTTTACTGTTTCAAGTACTGTTCTAAGCACACTGTATCAATTCATTCTTCACTGCAACCCTGTGAAGTGTAGGTATTATTGTTGTGATACGCATTTGCCAGAGAGGAGAAGGGGAAAGTGACTGATTAATTCACAGGAGGAATTTGAAGTACAGATGACTAAGCGCCTTACTCAAGGTCACACAGCTAGTGAGTTTTAGGGCCAGGATTGTAGGTGGGAAACTACCAGGGCATCTGCATGCTTATTTGGAGAACCACCACTCTAGTCCAAGTCATTTGAAATTGGAAAAGCTTTATTCTAAAATAACAGTGAAGTCAGGAGGGAGAGGGATGCATAGGAGTACTTTATAATCCTGTCTATGGATTGTTAAGTCTGTCAGCACTGAGTAGAAGTTGTCCTAATGCTGCTTCACGGATTAGAAAACTCAGCAATGTTAAGTATGTTCTGTAACACATCATTAAACTTACATTGTTTTAACAGACTCTAAGTAATAGATTTCAGTCAATCCAAGTAAAGTTTTTAATTTGATAAACAGTAAAGCTTTGATAAAATCAAATGTTTGTAGAATGGAGATTTTATGTTTTAATTAAATTTTGGGGTTGTCAGGATCACTGGGGGAAAGTATCTTAAAATACATGCTTTTGGAAGTCTTTCTGAAATATATTAAAGTACCTTAATATATTAGAAAAGATGCAACACCATTCTGAATATTCTGATGGTTCAGTCTTCTATATTGAACCCTGAGTTCTCTTATAAATTGAATATTTAAGAAAACTTAACCAGGTTGTGTTTCTTAGTTTTCCTTTGTGGAACAGTGCTTTTCAACTTACTGCACATCTAAATCACCAGAGAGGCTTAAAAAAAAAAATACTGATATCTGGGTCTCACCCCTAGAGATTCTGATTTAATTGGTCTGATGATTCTAATGTGCTAGGATTGAGAAACCACTGTTCTAGAATAAGGATGTATGGGGAAATTTTCTTGGTTTCTTTTTTGTTGTTCCAGTAAATTCAGATAATACTGAAAAATATATTTGAGACAGGAGTTACTAGAGAATAGATGGAATATTGTAGATAATTCTCTGACAGGTTTAAACATATAACCCTTGACAATTTTTGTTTTCTTTCAGATTCATTATTAAACATGGGTGCATTTTTGGATAAACCCAAAACTGAGAAACATAATGCTCATGGTGCTGGGAATGGTTTACGTTATGGCCTGAGCAGCATGCAAGGATGGAGAGTAGAAATGGAAGATGCACACACAGCTGTTGTAGGTATTCCTCACGGCTTGGAAGACTGGTCATTTTTTGCAGTTTATGATGGTCATGCTGGATCTCGAGTAGCAAATTACTGCTCAACACATTTATTAGAACACATCACTAATAATGAAGACTTTAGGGCAGCTGGAAAATCAGGATCTGCTCTTGAGCCCTCCGTGGAAAATGTCAAGAATGGCATCAGAACTGGCTTTTTGAAAATTGATGAATACATGCGTAACTTTTCAGACCTCAGAAACGGAATGGACAGAAGTGGTTCAACCGCAGTGGGGGTCCTGATTTCACCTAAGCATATCTACTTTATCAACTGTGGTGATTCACGTGCTGTTCTGTATAGGAATGGACAAGTCTGCTTTTCTACCCAGGATCACAAACCTTGCAATCCAAGGGAGAAGGAGCGAATCCAAAATGCAGGAGGCAGCGTAATGATACAACGTGTTAATGGTTCATTAGCAGTGTCTCGTGCTTTGGGGGACTATGATTACAAGTGTGTTGATGGCAAGGGCCCAACAGAACAACTTGTTTCTCCAGAGCCTGAGGTTTATGAAATTTTAAGAGCAGAAGAGGATGAATTTATCATCTTGGCTTGTGATGGGATCTGGGATGTTATGAGTAATGAGGAGCTCTGTGAATTTGTTAAATCTAGGCTTGAGGTATCTGATGACCTGGAAAATGTGTGCAATTGGGTAGTGGACACTTGTTTACATAAGGTATGTAAGTCTTTTTGTTATAATTAAAATACCCTGTTAATTTTGAAAAGGCACGGTAAGTAAAATTAACCAGACTTAAATTTTAAAAACTTTTCATTAGGGAAAATCTGTATATTTTTAAATTACTTTCTTCACCAGAATTTTTTTTTTTTTTTTGGCCAGCCTCGTTTGCCTCAACCTTCTAGTTTGAAGATTAATAAATTTGTGGCATTTGTTGTCATTTAAGTACTTTGTGGCTTGTTGCTGTGGCTGAGGCATCTATATAGAATTGTGCCTTTTGATTTAAATTCTCAGTATTGGCAACAGAAGTCTTTTTTTTTTTTTTAAGATTTTATTTATTTATTTGAGAGAGAGTATGAGAGAGCATGAGAGTGGGGAGGGTCAGAGGGAAGAGCAGACTCCCTGCTGAGCAGGGAGCCTGATGCGGGACTTGATCCTGGGACTCCAGGATCATGACCTGAGCCGAAGGCAGTCACTTAACCAACTGAGCCACCCAGGCACCCGGCAACAGAGGTCTTATGCCTGATTTTGAAGCAGTTTAATGAATTATGTATATGGTATATTTCTGTAATAAATACACAAAAGATCAAAAGCCATGTATAATATTGGAAGATAAACCAGAGACCTAGGCTAAGTCAGGTTTTGTAATTTAGATCTGAGCCTCCTAGCAGCTAAGATGAAAACTGAAGTAAAAGTGTAAATTGTGTATTTCTTATTGTTTAGTAAAAGAAGCCCTTTCCTAGCAACAAAATCAAAAAGGAATTTACAGGTGGCTTTATATAAGTGATACATGACAAGGTAGAGCATATCTTAACTTTTGTAGAAGATACCAGAATTCTTTTTGTATAGATGTTTTTTTCATCACTGATTAAAAACCAAAGAGTAGTATAAAATATAATGCTGGAAGAATTCCTGTGGATCAGTAATATTTAATTTAGTTTTGTAATGTCCTGTGAATCTTAACTTGATATAGTAATAGGGAAAGCAAATCCAGACTAACAGACATTTAGCAATTCCCTTGAATGTCTTTAAAATATTCAGTAGTTTCAGGTGGGTTTTTGACAGGGCCTGTATAGCAGTCAGTTAAAATCTGAGTTATCTGGCCAGTGCCTAGAATATGTGAGTATTGTATGACTCTGAGTAAAAAGATATCAAGGCAAAACTAACCTTTGGCTATATGAAATAAAGGTTTTGACTTACTTACTCTGTCTAGATTAGAACTATTCTTTCTCCCCACCACAAAAGTTGCTTTGGAAGGTACAGACATAGCAGAAAGTTTCGGAAGTTCTCTGAGTCTGTGGAGATAACCAGGTTTTGGTGAAGTGTCTACTTCTTTTTCATAGATTGGGAAGAGTCAACTTCAGATAGAGAAAATTTAAGGGCTGGTATTTCCAGTTGGCAGCTTTTTTCTGAAAGGGTTTTAAATGATGGTTCCTTTAGCTTTTCAAAGGTTTTTGTTTTTTTGTTTTTGTCTTTTTTTCCCTTAAGCATAGTGTATACTTTTTTTTTTTTTTTACTTATCTGGATAGGTTAATTACAAAAGTATTGATGGTTGTCGGTGATCAAATAGGCTCTAAAAATGTCTTCCCTTTGGACTCCAAGTGGAGAGATTCTGACCTGCAGCTTTTTGAGACAAAAGCAAGCAGATGTTTTTTGCCTGACTAGCAGATGAAGACAGCATTTTCCCTGATTATAAAACAAGTATATACTTAGCTATTAAAAAAAAATTCCAGGTAATCCAGGAAATATAAAGAAACATTCAAAAATTTTGCCACTCACTGAAGTTGGCTCCATTCATTGGTATATATTTTTCCAGTCTTTTTTGCCTGCCCGTTAGTATGTATATTTTTATAAAAAGGAGATCATTATACTTGTTATTCTACAGTATGCTTTTTTGTGCAACGGTACGCTGTAGCGAGATCTCCATGTCTGTAGGTATCAGTCTAAATCATTTGTCACGGTTGTATAGTATTTTGTTGAAAGAATGGCGTCTTGTTTCGAAGGGAATAGCCAAAATCTATTAGGTCTGTAATTTGGAGTAAAAAAGAAGCTTGTATTGTGGATAAACTGCACACTCCCTTCCATTGAAAGGATGTTTGTTTTCAGGAATTTTGACCCTACCCTTTTGGAGGGGGTGAAATGATTCTGGTGGCGGATCTTTGCTTGACAGCTTTGATCAGTAATTAAATATTCCTGGTGATGGTATTAAATATCCTGGATTCCTAGAATCTCAGAAATGATAAATGACAGTAATAGGGACAAGAGGTTGGAACCCATGAGTCATTCAATTTTAGTGGAAGTTGGCCACCATAGTTCCTTAGGATGAAGCTGCATTCAAATTGAAGTCAGTTTTTTGGTTTTATTTTTAATTAGAGAGAATGGGAGCGTGTGCTGGAGGGTGTAGAGGGAGAGGGGGAGAGAGAATCTCAAGCAGATTCCCCGCTGAGTGTGGGGTCTCAGGTGGGGTGTGGGACTCCCTCTCACAACCTGAGATCATGACCTGAGCTGAAATCAGGAGTTGGATGCTTAACTGACTGAGCCACTCAGGTGCCCCAAGTTGAAATCATTTTTGTTTTGTTTTGTTTTTTTAAGATTTTATTTATTTATTTGACACAGAGAGCAAGAGAGCACAAGCAGGGGGAGCACTAGAGGGAGAGGAAGAAGCAGGCTCCCTGCTGAGCAGGGAGCCCCATGCGGGACTCGATCCCAGGACCCTGGGATCATGACCTGAGCCAAAGGCAGATGCTTAACCATCTGAGCCACCCAGGTGCCCCCAAATTGAAATCAGTTTTGAGAAGCTTAGTTAACTTTTGTGTTGAAACATAACAGACCTTTGAATATTTTGAACCTTTGCATGTTAAAACTTCTTACCCATTTCTGTTTTTCTAACTCCATAATTTGTCACTTGTTTGTAGTGTAAAACCAGGGGTTAGCAATGTTATAAAACAATATGGTTAAAATAGGGTATGATTGCTTTGAACTTTGAAAGATTGAATACAAAATTTTAAAATCCATGGAAAGCACTTTAGCTCAGTGCTTGGCACTTAGCGATTGCTCAGTAGGTGCTAGCTACTTCAGGAGGAGAGAGACTAGATCTGATTTTTAAGTAGAAGTTTCCCTGATAATAGATTTAAATGATGTGTTAATATTTTCTAACACTTCTAACACTTGTCATGCCCTAATTGTTTACAAGCACTTTTATATGTTAACTCATGAAATCTTGGAAGATTGTGATAATCGTCATAATCGCAATAACATCAGTAAATTATTGCTTTCTATGAGCCAAATGCTATTCTAAGCACTTTATACATACCTTAATGCATTTAATTTTCACAACAACTATAAAAGATAGTTAGCATTATTATTGCTAATGATAATCTCAAGATTGCCACTTAGGAATATGAAGCAGTAAGTGTTGGATGACTCTACTCAGGCATTACTCTCTTAAGATACGTTAACTCTAGGAGAGAATAATCCCTAAGAAAGCAGCCTTCCTATTTTATTGCCAATGCTGGTAGCATTCATGGTATTTATGCTAATTTCAGGTTGCATATGCTATGCAACTGCTGTTTGCATAGCCTTTCATAACTTGTAAATAACACTCATTTGTCCTCCTAGTAGCCTGAGATGAACGAAATAAAAATCCATTTCTAATTTGCAAGTAAGGAAATAGAGGTTTGACATTAAAAGATAGCTGTTAAGTCATATTTTGATGAGTGTTGAAGCCAAGACTAGAACTCACATTTCCTGATTCAAGTTTGTTGGGTCCGTTGCCAATGTTTCACAGAAGGTTTGACGAAAAATTTTTTCCGAATGGAAATACTAAGAGTTCCCTTTTCTTTTTTCAATAATTACAAGATGAATAAGAACATTTGTGAACAAATCCGAAGATGTTTGTATTTATGTCCTTTTTAAAAATATCATCCCCCTTAAGCAGCCACATATTCTTCCAAATAATTCTGTTTATTCATACAAACATATAGAAATATAAAAATAGGGTTTCCTTTCCCTTCCTTTCTGTTTTTTGTTTTTTGGTTTTTTATAGAAATGGATCATATTATGTATGTTACTTTGCCACCTGCTTTTTCTTAAATTGTAAAATTCAGTATTCCTTTAAATTGTTCTATTATTTTTTCTTTTAAAATACTATTCGATTTTCTAAATTCTGCTTATATACACTTATCAGAAGCTTATTTATATACATGAGAATAGTACCTGATAGTTGGATAAAATTGAGGGAAAATTTCAGCTCACAACCTGAGCTGAAACCAAGAGTCAAGACCTCCATTGTCTTCACGTTTTGCTACATTGAATTTTAGGAGGTGGTGGCAAGAGTTTTTCAGGGCCTTTATGTCTTTTTGGCTTATTTTCCAAAGGCAGCGCCATTCCAGATTAGTAATAGGACATGAAAAATGTACCCATATACCCCCCAAAATTGTTTAGCTCTAAACTCAGGAGTTTTTCCATTATAGCTTTCAGAAAATGTAATTCTAAATAACACAAATGTAGACATAAATAGTATTAGAGTGGAGTGTGGTTGGGTATTTTGGAGTATGGAAGGGAAGGACTGAATGTAAAAGTATAGTCTATAGTGTAGCAGTTCTCAAACTTTCTTGGTTTCATGGTGCCCGAGTATCTCAGAATTTTTTCGTAGTGCTACTTAGCCATATTAATACTTAGCAGATACAAGTATTATATGGTTAGAGCCAAGCTTAATGAGTATATATATGTCTTAACAAAATAATACATATACATTGAAAAAATCCTTTATTTCATTCTTTAAGAAACTGCAGTTACAGGGGCACCTGGGTGGCTCGGTTGCGTGTCCGACTCTTGGTTTCAATTCAGATCATGATCTCACAGTGGTGGGATCGGTGTGGGATTGAGCCAGCGTGGGGCTCTGTGCTCAGTGGGGTGTCTGCTTGGGATTCTCTTTCTCCCTCTCTCCCTTCCTGCCCCCCCCACTCATATTCTCTTTCTTTCTCTCTAAAATAAATAAATAAATCTTAAAAAAAGAGATACTGCAGTTACATACTAACAAGAAAGATATGTGTACCTGTTCACTGCACAGCTTCTCAGATCTTGGAATCATTGGGCACAGCCACCCTCATTTCCTGTATCACGTTGATTTTTTTTATGGGACTTGCTTTTTATCATAGCAACTCTCAAAACCCCGGCTTTGAAAATATTGGATGTCCTTGAGAGGAATATAGTGTTATCCGATGTTAAAACTGAACGACTTCACACTAGTTTGCAAGGTATCCACAAATGTGGAGTATCACTCTGTTTCCCCTCATTTTTAATATCTCTGTGAGTACACTGTAGCACTCTGGGGCTTTTTTTTTTTTAAGGTTTATTTATTTTAGAGCTAGAGAGGGTGGGGGGAGGGGTAAGGGGCGAGGGAGAGAGAATCTTAAGCAGGCTCAGGGCTGGGTGCGGAGCCTTGGAGCGATGGATGGGTTCGATCCCACAACCCTGAGATCATGACCTGAGCTGAAACTGAAAGAGTCAGTTGCTCAACTGTCTGGCCACCCAGGCGCCCCTGAAAGTCATCTTTATGTAGAAATAGAAGAAGCATCATTGGAATCACACAGAGCTGAGGTGTAAATGTAAATTATTTCCTTTATTTTTTGTTATTTAAACTTCCTGAAACTATCTTTCAGTTAATTTCCCAATTGATAAGATGTAATTTTTATAACATAAAAACCTAATGGAAATTGTGTGTGTGTGTGTGTGTAACTTTAATTATCTCTGGTATAAAGCTTTTGCCTGACCTGAACTTACATGGTCAATCCTGATTCCTGTAGAATGTATTGATTCTTTGGGGGGGGGGGGGGGGAGGATGCTGTTTGGAACCATAGTGTGTTTGTGTGGATATGTATATATATTCACACAGCCAGTGCATATTTTCTAATATGAAGTCATTGTGAAAGTCTTGGTGGATTTCATGAAAGAATGAAATTAGTTTGGGCCAGTTCTGATTTTTTTGGAAATCCTGATTTTTTTTTTTCAGGTATGGAGAATCTGGTTATATACTCATGATATTTTTTCCCACTAAAACATGGGAGTCTGTGGAAAGAGTTATTCTTTTTGAAGCCTTCTTAAGGCCTGACCTCCACTGTCTTCAAGCTTTGCTACATTGACTTTTAGGAGGTGGTGGCAAAAGTTTTTCAAGGCCTTTGTGTCTTTTTGGCTGTGTCATGTGGGTTCCAGAAAGGTGGCAAGTCTGAACCAGACAATGCCTGCCTAGATTCTGGCCATAATGACTGAAAAGACTAGAATGGGTATGGCCTTAGCTTTTTTCACTTGGGTTGGCAAACTGCACCATCAGACAAAGTAGCCTACCACCTCCATTGACTTAGTTTATTTTGGGGGCGGGGGGAGTTGAAACAGTCACTATTCTAAGTCCTGTTCTAAGAAACTCAGTTAAAGTAATATACCTATAGGAAAAGCTACGAGAAGATTTTAAATTTATTTCTTGTAATCTCATGGTAATAGTGCTACTTTTAAAAATATAGATAATTTGCCTATGGTAGTGTGATTACCAAGGCGACAGTAAAATTTGTCCCTAAGTTAGCAGTTTTGGCTCCCCTCTGCAGACTGACACAATTTTTGATTCTATATAACGATCTGATGTCTTTTCTCCACAAGTTATTATATCTGACTACAGTATTTCAGCCATCCAGTTACCTTCCATTGTTTGCTGCTTTATCCTCAGAACAGTTTACAATCTGTTTTATTCTCTGCTTGTAATTGTTCAGTATAGTGTCTTGGGTATCCTAATGATCATTAATTTTCAGCCATGTCAAATTCAGTAGAGTTTTACTAGCATTGCTCTGATGCGGGTTAATTAGCTAGGTGAAAATTGCACACTTGTTTGGGAACATGTGTTTTTGGGCGCAAGCGACTTTGGGAATATGCAGGTTGAGTGGGAAACAGAGTTTAGAAGATGTAATACCTTCATATGTAGGTTGTAGAGTGCTGGTGGGTAAGAATAGGTACACAGAATTAAAAGTCATAAAATAATCACAGATCTACCCATATCTAGAGATCTTGTTTCTTCAGGGAATGCTTCAGATAGTTCTTTAGAATGGAAATTAATGCGTTGAATGTGTACATTCTGGTGATTTAAATAAACTATAATTGCTTAATGTAATTAACTGTTGTGAATGAAATAATAGAAAGTTGCTGGACTATGGAAATCTAATTCTTTTTCTTTCTTTAAAATACAGGGAAGTCGAGATAACATGAGTATTGTACTAGTTTGCTTTTCAAATGCACCCAAGGTTTCAGATGAAGCAGTGAGAAAAGATTCAGAGCTGGATAAGCACTTGGAATCACGGGTTGAAGGTAAGTAAGAAAGGTGATTTTTTTTTTTTTTTAATTCCCATTTAGAAGGAAAGGAAGAGTATTCTCCCTTGTTTATGAAATAGTTTTTTTAGAATTAGGAAAAACGATTAAGTATTTCAAAACAAGGCCTTAAAAAACAAGCATCTGTCTGCCTAAGATTTACTATTACATCTTGGACCAATGTGTGGGAATTTATTGGCAGGGAGAAGACAAATACGTCTATTATACCACCAAAGAGAAACATTTGAAAATAGTCTGTTAAATTTTGCCATTTTATTTCCTCTTTTCCTGATTATACTTTTAGTAGTGAAGAGTCCAGTGAAATTTGCCTCTGGGCTTATGAACATCAAGTGCTCTAATTCGACTAACACTGATTCCTCCCAGGTCAATCATAGGAATTCATTATACCATATGTTTTTATGTTACTGATAAGAGTCAGCATTGATGTTGTGAAAGAGTATTGATTTTACAGTTGACCCTTGACCAGCATGGGGGTTGGGAGTGCAAACACACCCACTATTCCCACCTTCATCTCCCTGTCTCCCCCCCCACACTCCCCCTCAGTTGAAAATGTACATATAAGTTTTGACTCCCCCCAAACTTAATTACAATAGTCTACTATTGACCGGAAGCTTTAAACAGTTAATTAACACATATTTTGTATGTCCTATATATGATATATATGTGTATGTATGTATTTTTACAATAAAGTAAGCCAGAGAAAAGAAAATGTTATTAAGAAAATCATAAAGAGAAAATATATTGACGGCGGTAGTGTACTATATTGAAAGAAAAGCCATGTATAAGTGGACCCACACAGTTGAAACTTAAGTCATTCAAGCAAGGATCAACTGTTCTTATTTTTTTTAACTTTTTATTTTGAAATAATTTTAAAATTAAAGAAAAATTGAAAAAATATAGAGAGCTCCCATGTACAATGTAGTACCTTTTACCTAGATTCCCCATTTGTTTACAATGCATGTGACTCCTCTATTTTCTATAACATACACACTCATTCTTTTCTCTCTCTCTCTCTTTCATTGTGGCAATGTCTGCAGACATACTTGGTGTCATAACTGAGAGGGTGTCACTAGCCTAAAGTGAGGAGAGGCTGGGGATGTTGCTTAACATTTTGTAGTACACAAGACTGCCTCCACCAAAAAAAAAAAAAAAAAAGATGTGGCTGATCCAAAAAGTCAATTGTGCCAAGGCTGAGAAATCCTGTACTGTAGAGATACAAGTATAAGGCAGAAAAATGACAGTCCTGCCTTCAAGAAGCTTGCAATCTGTGATAGAGTAAGCAGCATCTACAGTGGAAGCATGTAGCAGTGCACAGACTTCAGCCTTGGGTTGGAGAAGAATTTGAGAAAGTGACACATGAAGTTGAAACCTGAATATGAGCGAACTATGCAAAATGGGTTGATTGGAATGGCGTAAAATGTGTTTCAAATCAAAGGAAAAGCACATGTGAAGATCTAGAAGTAGGAGAAGGCTTCCCTGCATAGAGCCTTTTTGGAGATAGAGGGGAGTCAGGGGCAGAGTCAGATGGGAGTGGTGAGGTTACGGTGATGGCGAGGGCCTCGTGAGGCATGGTGGCTGCTGAGGACACTGCTTTTTTGTTGTCTTAAAAGTAAGTTGGCATCCTCCGATTTTTGAAGAGTTTATGTCTTAATACTGGCCAAATAATCATGCTCTAAAGATGTATTTTTCATAAATTGTAAATATAGATGGAACGTGTAAATGTTTTGTTTTGTTCTGAGCCTTAGCAAGTTCTGTGATTTATTTTCCTTTTTTAATTTTATTTATTTTAAAAGATTGTATTTATTCATGAGAGAGAGAGAGAGAATGAGCACGGGAGAGGGGCAGAGGCAGAGGGAGAATGGGGCTCCCCGCTGAGCAGGGAGCCCCATGTGGAGCTCCATTCCAGGACCCTAGGATCATGACCTGAGCCAAAGGCAGATTCCTAACTGACTGAGCCACCCAGGTGCCCCTCCTTTTGTATTTTAAATTGTTGTGGAACATAACTACCTCGGGATCAAAAAGCTTATAAAACAGCATGGATGGACCTAGAAGGTATTATGCTAAGTGAAATAAGACAGTGTTTCACTTCCATGTGGAATCTAAAAAACAAAGCAGAGACAGAGTCATCATAGGTGTGGAGAACAAGCTAATGATTGCCAGAGGAAGGATAGGCGAACTAGGTGAAGGGAACTAAGAGGTAGAAACTTCCAGTTATCAAAGAGGTTACAGGGCTGAAAATATAGTCAGTAATATTGTACTAACATTGTATGGTGACTACACTTAGTGTGGTGAGCGTTTTATAATGTGTATAATTGTCGAATCACCTGAAACTAATATTATTTGTCAACTGTTCTTCAGTTAAATAACCTTATAAAACAATTCCTAATTTTTCCCCTTCTCCTTACAGTCCTTATTCATCTATCACTTTTTTTGGGAATTACAGTATTAATAACTTTCGTATTATTCTTGTATAAAATTAGATCAAAGTGTTTTTCCACATAGCTATCCTGTGTTCACAGGGATCATTTTTAGTGATTGTAAACCATTTCACTCAGTGGCTATACCAAAATTTTCTTAACTGTCCCTGTATTGTTGAACATTTCATTTCTTCCAGTTTTTGCTTTTATGTATGCAGATAACTTTTTATATTACTTTTATTCCTTGTGTGATCGTAAGATAATGTTTGCTTTTTTTTACATTTTAAAATCGATACTACCAAATAGTTCCCCTTGTTTCACTCTCTCTGAATCCTGAGTTAACACATTAATTTAGGAATTCTTTTTAAAAACCTGCAGAAATTATGGAGAAGTCTGGTGAGGAAGGAATGCCTGATCTTGCCCATGTCATGCGCATCTTGTCTGCAGAAAATATCCCAAATTTGCCTCCTGGGGGAGGTCTTGCTGGCAAGTAAGTAGAACAAAAAGAACTAATTTTGAGTTCGTTTATAATTAGTAATTAAGTAATTTGGGGGAAGAAGTATATCAATTATCTAAAGATGAGATGGGTTGATGGTTCTTATATAGTAGAGAAGAACTTTAAAAATTTCATCCAAAGGCATTTTTTTTTTTAAGGGAATTATTTATCATGTGTTTTGAAAAGGTGAAGGTTCTCTTACTTTATAAATAAGAACAAATGGCTTGTGCTGAATCAAATTCTAAGTGAAGTGTAGAAACTATGTTCTTGGCAAGCATTTAATGTGGCAGTTAATTTTTGAGGATATTTAAGATGAAGTATTATTTTAAATACTCAGAAGCTTAGTAATTGTAATTTAATAAAACTAAAGCATAATTTTTTTTAGGCGCAATGTTATTGAAGCTGTTTATAGTAGGCTGAATCCACATAGAGAAAGCGATGGGGTAAGTTTTCTTTTATTTCTTAAGCATTTAAAATAATTTTGTAATGTAAATATTAGATATAATACATTCACATAATGAAATCTGTAATAAATTATACTATGTCTCATGTTAAGGAGTCAGTTTAAGGAAATGTCTAGAAATGGAGGTAGAGATACAGTTCTATTTTGTAGTTAAGTTTGTTGTCACGTAACGGGCATCAAGTACCTTCTTGTTGGGCTGTACTTACTTCCTCCCTGTATGTCTGCCTTTCCTTCTCCTTCTCCCTTAAATCTTAATTTTGAAGCGAAGAACATCCTTTTAAATATCTCACTTTCTCCTTCAGCAGGCTGCTACCATCACTAGAACTTAGTGATAGAGAAATGAGCTATTATTTTAAAGACCTGACTTTCAGTGCCCCTGTGTGCCCAGTTGAATACCTGGGGATAACTTCTTTCTTAACCTTAATGTTGCCACTGTAGGTGTTTTGTGTTGAACTGGATAACCGTTTTTGTTGTACCCTGCTATGCTTCATCAGAGCAAAACTCTATCCCTTTACCTTCCTTAGAAATACTGATGAGGTGTCAGCTGCACCTCTGTAGTGTTTTTATCTTCGCACTAGTACCGAGAGACAAAACAGTGCCTTCTTTCTTTCTTTCTTAATTGCCCTACATTTCAGAGTCGGTAATTCGAGTAAGTATTTCCTTGTAGGGTTTTGAAGTTTTTAGACATCTATAAATGAATAACTTAATTTTTAACCATAGGCTTGAAAGATTTAAGGGAGCCAAAGTTAGTAATGAAACTCATTAAGAAGAGAGAGACTCGCCCTCCAAATCTCCAGCTCCTCGGGGCAGGTCTTGAGAGAGACATCAACCACTGGTAGAAATGATGTATCCTCTCAGTTGAGCCGTTCTGCAGGATTCATTATTGCACAGCCATGTCCTATCATTTCCTTTTTCTTAACATAAACGTATCCTTGCAAAAAGAAAAAGTTTACGATTAATACATTTTAGTGAGTTGAATAAAAGTGATATTGTATATTGCCAGTAACAGGTTTTATATCTTGGTCTAGAGCAGTGGTTCTGAGTCTTTCTTTTGTACCCAGGACCTCAAAGTATCAAGACTTGTATCTTAAAGCTGTGAAAATTCATTTAAAAATAAAAATACGTCATGTGCTACATTTAGAGTGAACCCTAAATCAGACAAGGACAAAATGTTGACACAACTGAAAAGCCCATGGTAATTGGGTGGTAGAGTGAAGAAAGGCTGATCCCTTTAGCTAGATCCTAGGTTCCACATGTGGTTAGAGGAAATAAGCCCTCAGAAGGTGTTACTGATTCAGTACTAACCATATAAGTGCTCATGTTTCTTCATGTGCCTGAAAATGTAAGCCTGGTGTGTAAATTTGAAAAATTATCTCATTTTGCCTTGCTGAATCTCTTCAAGGTCCCTCAAGAAAGTTGGCTGCTCTTACTCCAGAGACAGTTAAGAAAAAAAGTTTCACACCCCTAAATTAATGTTTAGGTTAATGTTTTAAACATTTTTTAAAAACAGAAAATACTTATTATACACAGTAGCTCTCTAAACAGTGAATAAATAAACAACAGAGCCATGAAACTGAAGAGAAATGCTCAGGATAAAAAACTGGCCTTGGATAGGATTATTACATGACTCTGTAAGTTAAGGAGATGCATACTTAATTACGTTTATATATAAGCTTTCTAGGAACCTCAGCAGATCAAACATGGACAAGCTATCACGTGGTGAATTGACGTAGGGAGGAGACTGTACAGAACATGAGACATGGTCCCATCCCTACGGTCAGTGCAGCTCCCCATGTAGAGATAAACACACACGTTAGAAAGAAATGATAAAATACAGAATGTGATTAATTGCCATGTGAATTGTACAGTGATTGCTGGGAAAGTCAGATTTGTCAGAGAAAAGAGGAGATTTGAAGAATGATTAGAATGACAGAAATGAAATAAGGAGGATGATATAGTTCAAGTGGATGGGAGAGGCAAGAACAAAATATGAGCTATCTTTAAAGAAAGGACCTCATTTTGACTAGAGCAGCGAACTGCTGTGGTGAGAAATAAGAATTCAGGATGCCAGATGTATTTTTGGAAACACTGGAGAGGCCTTCTGAACTTTATATTTTATAGCGAGGAGCCACCATCTGTTTGGAGCAGAAGAGTGGTACACTCAGAGGGATATCTGTGGTATTGTAGTCTGTTAGAAACACGGCATGTGCAGCGTTAGGTTAAAGAGATGCTGGCAGTCAACTAGTGAAATAATTACAGAGATCACATGATAAGTGTAAACTCATTATTAGACAGATACATGGATTGGAGAAACTTCCCTATTCACTGTAAAAACTAACTTTTGCAGCCCAGAATCCTATGTGGGGAAATATTTCTTGACCCTTTCAGAATAATCACAACCTTAGAAAAATGTTGAGCCATAGTAGAAGCAGAAATATACTAAATGTACATTAGCAGAAATGTACTGAAAAACACAAGCAGAAAAAAAATGAAGTAATTATAGGTATTTAATTAAATTCTTAGCTCTTAACCTGAGCTACTGTAGCAGTGGATTAGGCACAAATGTGTTCCATAACTGTTTCTCAGCTTAGATCTGTGCCGTGTTGTAGAAGATGTGGCCAAGAAGTACAGTGGCAAGAGCTGATAGTTGGATTTTTTTTAATAACAAAAATAAAATTTTGTACAGATATTAAAAAAAAAAAAAAAGAATGCTAGTCAGAGTTAATCCGAGACGTATTTAGGTTCCTAAGATGTCTGCTTTATATCAGAGAGAGAATTATCCTGCTGTGAATGCCTATAGGTAATACCATTAGAAATAGGGATTCATTTATTTTTCTTATATTCAAAGAAAACCTTTTGAATAACATTTCAAAAAGCCAAGTGGAATGTAAGCCAGAATTTGTTTTTATAATATTCCTTTTTTTTATTTTAGAAAGAAAGAGTGAGAGTGCATGGAGGGTGGGGAGGCAAAGGGAGAGGGAAAGAGAGAGAGAGAGGGAGAATCCCAAGCAGTCTCCACACTCAGCATGGGACCCAACACAGGGCTCAATCCCACAACCCTGGGATCATGAGCTGAAATCAAGACGCTTAACCAGCTGAGCCACCCAGGTGCCCCTATAAGTCAGGAATTAAAACATTTAAAATATATTCAGAAAGCTCACTACACTATTTAGGGGAGTCTTCTGAAGTTGTTTACTAAATTTGTTTTTTCAACTTTCTGGAATATGTTCAGATTTCTTAATGCAAGCAATATTGACATTTTCCCAACTGTTAAAATATTTGGAAAAGGGTCTAGCAGGGATTCTTAGGTGGTTTGTGAATCCCCAGAAAATTTTTGAAAATGTGTTTGTGGAAAATGTGCAGTTTTTAATGAGAAGTGTAGTATGTGTGTGGTTTTCATCAGTTCCTCAAAGGAGTCTGTGACCCCAAGAGAATAATCACCTACAGGACCAGAAAAAATAAAACTGCCTTTTGCTCTACGCTGTTCTTACATTAGGCAGGGCTCTGAGATGATGGCCCTTACTTCTACAATGCTAGGTTGGGGGCATCTGGCTGGCTCAGTCGGTAGAGCATGCAGCTCTTGATCTTGGGGCTGTGAGTTCAAGCCCCATGTTGGGTGTAGAGATTACACTGATTTAGATTCTGATCTTTAAAATATACCACTAATCAGGCACCTGGGTGGCTCAGTCGCTAAGCGTCTGCCTTCAGCTCAGGTCATGATGGGACAGAGCCCCACATCAGGCTCCCTGCTCAGCGGGAAGCCTGTTTCTCCCTCTCCCACTCCCCCCTGCTTGTGTTCCCTCTCTCGCTGTGTCTCTCTCTGTCAAATAAGTAAAATCAATAAAATATACCCACTAATCAAGTAGCCATATACATTGCTGATTTTCCAAGGGTAAAGGGGGGGACTTGTAATTACCAGCTGTTGTATAAAGTAATAGGTGATGTCCTCAACATCCTTTTTATAGGTAAGACTAAGACTCAGTGAGAGGAAGTAGTTTGTCTAGGTTGCAAAGCTAAACAAATCATACAGCCAGAATGGGAATCTAAGTCAGGGGAACTCTGAAAACTATTCTCTTTACACAGTTCTTTGTTGTCTAAGTTATTTAGAGATTACATATATGTCTGTACCCCACCTTTCTCCTATCCACGAAAAATCATTTCCTGTTCTTTTGTGAATCTCTTTAGTAGTCTTAAGATACTGTTTGTTTGTTTTTTAAGATTTTATTTATTTATTTGAGAGAGAGAATGAGAGAGAGCGAGAGAGCGTGAGAGGGGGGAGGGTCAGAGGGAGAAGCAGACTCCCTGCTGAGCAGGGAGCCCATGCGGGACTCGATCCTGGGACTCCAGGATCATGACCTGAGCCAACCAACTGAGTCACCCAGGCGCCCAAGATATTCTGGTTTTAATGAAGAATATTTCATAAAGTTTTTGAAACTGAGCAGTCAAGTCCACAGTTTTTTATCCCTTGTTTTTCATTTAAAATAGTACACATTTTAATCCTAATCTAAAATCTTTTTAAGGCATTTGGATTTTTAAGAAGGGAGGAAAGACAGGGAAAGACAGGACAAAAGCCCAAAAAAGTCTTCATATTCTGTTTTCACATTAAGTTTTATATAGTCTTTTTATTTTGATAATTTCAAATAGATCAGTTATAAACATAGCTGCTTTTACAGTTTTATATTACAGTTTCAGGACTATGTGAATAATAGTTCTTTTTGGTAAATTGTTTCTTTTTCACTTGTCAAAGCATTTTTATAGAGAAGATCTATACTGTTTGAAAATACAGTAAACTTTATTTTTAAGGATGGTATGACATACCACTTCTCTTAGCTATGTAGTCTCGACCATCTAAATGATTCTTTAAAATTACTTCAAATTCATTAAATTGTACATGATCCTAGCAAATAACAGCTTATTAGATTCTTCCTTGGTCACTGTTAATTCTATCTCATGAGTGCATATTTGAGGATTTTCAGCTCT